GAAGACGTCAAACTGCTCTAGCTGCTGGGTTGGGCACGCTATTAAAGTTGCGCTCGCTGGCATATAGCTATCAGCTCAAGCTCAAGCTCATCGCCGCAAAGGTGCGACAACTGCTGGCCTGTCACAAGAGCCAGTGTCTTTTTGAACAGCAGCAACTAAGGGTCGCCCATCCGGGCGGGTCTGAGGACGACTCTGGCGATGCTGGTCGATTATGTCGTGCAGCTTTGGGTGGCATACTGTCAGCAGTCTCAGTAACAAGCTTTGGTGCCGTACCACGTGCGCCGTATTTATTGTGGTGCCGTACCATGCCGTATGCCGTACGTAATAAAGTATTCTGGCGCAGGTTTTCATTCGTGACTTATCCCGCCCGCTTGATGAGATTAATGTCATAACGTTTCAGCAACAGACGCATCGCGAATATATATCTACTACGGCTTGCAAGCCTCTTCAGACAAAATAAAAGTCACAGAAGGAAAAAAAGATAAAATCCTAAATACGCCAAATAATGGAAAACACGGAATCCTGTGCATGGTACCCACCATCATCACCACCATCACGACGTGCCCACATAAAAGCAGTACCTATCCAGAGTGGGCATATGAATTCCGGTGCTGCATCCTAAAACATGCCCCCACAAGGCGGCCATTCCGGCAGCAGCAGCTACAGCTTGCAGCCTTAAGGAGGGCTCCACCCTAGGCACTTCCAAATCACCACCATCACAGAAAGTGTACGGAGTGGGCCACGGGAATTACCGGGTACGTTGATGGTTCAGCGAATGATCCGAGCAGTTAGCAGTTTAGTAAATACTTCCATGTCCATGTGTGTGTGTGCGTGTGTATCGCGCCTCACCCTGCCATCAAAACGGCCCCCTGCGCCGCTTTGCTTCCTGAACCGCATTCTCTCATCATAGTAAAGTGTGGCGCTCTATCTGCGCTACCTTGCTCTGTTCGCCAAAAGAGAAGAGCCACAACATGTATGTCGCCCTCCCATTCGAACAAGCATGGAATGTAAGAGCACACAATCACAATCACACACACGTGAAACTGGTCCGGTGTGACATGATGCAGTTCTACCCGTACACGTGCCGTACACCCAATAGGTCGACCGCAGGGATTTTGGGGGGAACACCTATTTTGCGGCGGCATGGCGAGTCCCCCCGTCCCATTGCCCCTCATGGGGCCCCAATGGGGGGTGAAGCCAAGTCAAAAACATGTCGGAGATCAAGTTATCATATAACATAACATATGTCGTCATCATCACGGCGATGTGCCAGCATGTGCCGTGGGTCCAGAAGTCGTGTGCAGCAACGAGGACGTGACCCCCACCCCTGCCATCGGGGTTTCCCCACCCCACCCCACTCCGGGTAAACAC